TAACACCGAAGCTAACCCTCTATCATGATGCCTCTTATGTCACACCACAGCAAATTTCAAAAGTACTGACAATTTAAATATTTTGAAAACCATTAAAACTGTAGGAAACAACAGAGCACTGTCGTGGAGAAGAGAAAACATTCTTAGCTACTGCTGATTTCAGCTGGGTTTCCCCTCCACCTCCCCTTTCAGGGAACTCCCTCATACTCACCACGGTTTGCTGGTGCTGCTCAAACTTCAGACTAACATTCTGGATCCAGAAGAAGCCGAAGGAGCCGATCTTGAGCTCCGCTTGGAGCCTGCGATGACACCACTTGGTGGCCAAGCGGACCAGAAGCCACCTGCCAAGAGATGCTGGTGAGCTCTGCCCGTACAAGACTTTCATGAGGAGGGCTCTAATCTATGGATGAGACTCCTCGGCAAGTTTTTATTTTCCTCTTCGCTCCTCCTGATGGGCCCAGTGGAAAGGGCCCCCTGCTTCAGGCACTGACTGTTGGGGCAACCCTGGGTGTGCCTCAGTAAAAGGAAGGGGACTCACTGCTCCCTGCTCTGCCACTATCTGTACCCCTCTCTAAGCCTCAGTTTCCTAGCCTGTAAAATGAGACTTCTGGCTCCGGAGCTACCGCTTCCCTCCGCCCCAGGGGTCCGGACTCCAGACCCAGAGTCTAGGTGACGGCCCCCCTCCTGCTCCCATCCCCGAGGAGAAACCAGGGATCCCTCGCTTCCCAGATCTCATCCCAGCCCTCCGAGCTGTGTCGGGGAGCTTCCCCGCCACTATCAGAAGCCTCGGGCTCCACGCAGGAAAACGGACTCCAGCCTCACTGGAGGGGAGAACCTCGCCGCTCTGGGGTCGCCCAAGGGTCTCCTGGGGGCGGTCGGGGCCAGGCAAGGGCTAGATAGAGCCCCCCTTCTCCAGGATTGCCGAGTACTCCCCCCCCCGAGAAGGAGCCCAGGAGGTGGGCAGGGGGCCCAGGGACACCTGTACAGCAGAGGAAACTGAGGCAATGGAGGAGGAGGGCAGTGCCCGGGCACGGCAGGTCTGTAGAAGTACGGGACTTGTCCAAGGTCACCCGGAACCAAGAGCACCAAACAAGGGGCTCCGGGGCAACCCCCACCCACCCACTCGCGGGGCTCCCCTCCCACAGCCCACAGGCCCTCCCCTTTCCCTTGAGCCCCACCCCGGCCAGCGCGCCCCCGCTGCTCCGCCCCTCCCTCTCCGCGCGCCCCGCGCCGCCCCCCCTCCCCGCGCGCCCCCGCTGCTCCGCCCCTCCCTCCCCGCGCGCTCCCGAGCGCCCCCTCGCCCCTCTCTCTGGCCCCGGCGGCCCCTCACCGGCACAAGAAGAGGGCGCAGAGCGCAGCCAGGAGCAAGGACAGCAGCGCGGCCAAGAGCAGAGGCATCGCGGCCCCACGGCCCCGGCCCGGCCCCTGCCCCCGCTAGTTCCGTGCCGAGCCTCCGAGGGCCGACTAGCCGCCTGCGCGGGGGACGGCGCGAGCAGGAGACGCGGCGAGCCCCGCCCAGGCCAGGCCCGGCGGCCCCCCCTACCCCGCCGCGGCGCCCGCGCACGAGCGAGCGAGGGAGGGCGGAAGGGGGAGGAGACAGAACACGTTCCTCTTCCTCGCCCCGCCCTCCCTCTCAGCCTCGGCCTCCCCTCTCCAGGCTCCAGGGCCCGAGCAAAGAGGAGACACGTCCCTCCTCCCTAGCCCCGCCCCCGCCCCGCAGCAGCCCCAGTGCGGAGGGAGGAGCTAGGCACGCTGCTGGTCCCGCCCCTGTCCCCGCCCCTTCCTCCACCCCAACCCCCTCCGGCCGAGCCAGCTGGCCGACCTCCACCTCGGGCGGCGTTTGTCTCCCGGGGGGCGGGCGAGTCTCTGGCTGCCACTCGACGAATTATCGTGGGACACCCTCCCCGAGCCCGAGGACGAGTCTTAAGAAGTGGGGTCCCAACGGAGCCCGGAGGACCTTAGGCTCAGCCCCTCTCTTTGGCCAGCCGGGGGAGAGGGAAGAGACTTGCCCAAGGTCACTCGGGTAGCGAGCCTGGAAGCCAGGCCCTCCAGCTTCCAGGCCGGCCCCACGCTAGCCCTTCGCGACTTGGGCCCTCGGGCAAGTCCCTGGATGTCGGAAGAGGGGACTTGTCATTCCCTCCCTCGTCCTGGGGCCGTCAGGGAGAGAAGCCTTCCCGGGTTTCCCCATCCAAGCCCAAGGGGATCTCATTACTCGGCGGGGAGCCGGTGTCTGGGCTCCCTTGGGGCCCCCTAGGGGGATTCTGGGTTAACGTTGGAGGGGCTGTGCCACGAATGCCCATGCCGGAAGGGACCTTGGGAGGGCAGCTCCCCCGTTCTAAAGCACAGGGGTGAGAACCGACCTAGGATCTGCTGCGTCCTGCTTCAGAGGCACAGAAAGCAAAGTGCTCTGGATCCAAGCTCTGTGACGGCAGGAGCAGGGAAGTGGACTCTGCGGTCTTTGAGGACTCTGTGATCCTAATTAGGTAAATAGAAGAGCAACAGTCTCATCATCTTTTTCCCATCCAAAGAAAAAGAAATAAGAGAAAATAGCTGGACAGCCCAACTGATAACACTAGTTATCACTAATTAACCCCCCCCCAAAAAGGCCCCACCAAAAAACCCCTACAAGATAATAATAGCAAATGACATTTATTTACATAGTGCTTTAAGGTTTGCATCTTACTTAGGTTAACTCTTTGGTCCTCACAACAACAAGGTAGGTGCTATTGTTACCCCCATATTGCAGAGAAACAAAAGTTAAATGACTTGCCCAGGGTCACACAGTAAGTATCTGAAGCTAGATTTGCACTCGGATCTTTCTGTCTCCTAGTCTAGCACTCTACCCACTTGGCCACCTAGTTGCCCAGGACAGTTTGTAACATACTGGATGGATCTGTTAATCAGTTGTGGAGAATTTATAGTAAAACATGGACATACAAGATGAGAAAGCATGGATTGTGGTCTGCACTTTGAAAGAAACACACTGATGAAGCCATGAGTCAAAGTATCAAAATAGAGATAGAAAACACTGCATTTAATTCATTTACTGTTGGGAGTATCTTATTTTGGCCAGCTGTTGATTGAACCAGGTGCCCAACACCCTGCTGTACACAGTGAATTCTTTAAATTCTGTTTACTCACAAAAATAATAAGCATCCTTGTGCATAGTATGGCATCATGCAAGTTTGGGGGCTACAAAGTAGGAGGTCTGGTTCCTGCCCTTCAGGAATCACTCTGAGAAATTGTGATAGACATAAATGAAATAGGCCAAGTGTAACTCCTGGGGAAACACATATTCAAGTGCCTGACAGCTCAAAAGAGGAGCATGTTGGGGACACAGTTTTATAGACCAGCCAGTTTTCTTTAAACATCCACTGTCTTATCCAAAACCATTTCCCTCTGGTAGTTTCCCCTAATAATTTGTTCTCCTCTTCTATTATCAGCCCTCTAACAAGTTGTATATCCTCTTACTGATTCCTGGTAAGCCAGGCAGAAGCAGCTCAGCTGTCCTGAGCCCTCCCCGCTTTTCTGGCACTTTGCCTTCTCACTTGTAATCTACTCCCTCCCCTTCTTCTTCCAGCCAGCTGGTCACTAAGATCCTCATTTTGCACTTCCTCAATTCAGTGGAACTTGTTTAGTTAGCTCTGCCTTTGCTTTTTCAGTCCACCCTTGCTTCTTTTCCTCCGATCATTCCTTTGGTTTCCTTGTCTTCGGTTTGTTCCTGTCTCTTCTCTAGAATATCCTGTTACATCTGGCCCTTCTCTTTCGAGGCTTTTCTTCTCAGAGGACCTGAGCAGTTAAACTAGAGAAACAGGAAGATTTTCTGGCAGTCAGGGCTACTGGAGTTGGAACACATCTCTCACTATGACATCTTATTTGGATCGTGTCACTGGAACAGAGACCTAATCTTAACATCTAGGACAGGGGGCTGGCATGCAGTTGATATTCTCCAAGCAAAATGTAAAGGCTGCAAAATAAGTGAGTGGAAAAAAGCCATCGTAAAAGAAAGTGAGTCTTGCTATATATCCCCTGGAATCCCAGCAGATGGCAGCCACCTCCCTTCCTGCCCCCATCACACTTTGGAATGCAGAAGTCCAACATCCCAGAATCCACCTGCTTTGGGAGTATGGGGGAGGCTGAAGAAAAGAAGTGACTATTTCTCTCCATCGAAAAAAGTTGTATGCTCACCTTCATATACTTGGCCTCATTTGCCCGGTTTGGCCAAGGAAGTAGATAAATGTATGTCTACTGGACTCATCTCCTCATCAACAATCATGGGTCCAGGCTGCAGCAATTCACTGACCATTGAGAGAAATGATTATTAAGTAACTCATTATTAATATTGAGGAGATCCAGGATTTTTTCCCTTCCTCATTTGGAGGTTAGGTTAAAGCTTAGTTCTCTGAAGGGCAGGGCAGATGATGAGATGAAATCTTGGAATTGTAGCCCCACCCAGCTAGAAAACCTTACAAAGAATTTAATCCTAGGTGAATTCTGGCCCATAGTGTTCTACTCAGGCTTAGGTAGACCGTAGATCCTTTGTCTAGATTGCCTGAGGCTGGGGGTGGTCTGGGAGCAAGTGATCCCTAGGCCCTCTAGAGAAATGAGTCCACCTCTCATTAGAATACTCATTCTTCTCATTAATTGTTAACCAATTGGAGTTGATTGCCACCCTCAGGAACACCCACTCTTCCAAGGGCATATAAGCATTGAGTGAGTTCCATGAGGGGTCTTTGGCATTCTCGAGCACTACTGACCCCTTTTATTAATTACCCACAAACTATGTCTCCTGAAGTTTTTACATATCACACCATTAAGGCAAACCAATTGAAGGTTTTCATCCAGAAGGATTTGGACTTCTAGCCAAAGGGCATGAGTTTGAAGTTAAGGAAAGAGAAGACCTTGCAAGGTGAACAGCTGAGTTCCTGGTAATTTCAAAAGGCTTACATGATTAAGCAGACCTACCAATGTGACTCCTAATTAAATGACCACTTAAAGACTGAGAGTCAAATTCTTTTTATTACTCCTGAGAAAATGTATGTATTGGAGACTGTACTCCTCCACTTATTAACGGATTATCATGACAAAGCACTCGAATGAGGGGAATCTCCCGTCTCCAAGAGATGTTTATTGTTTCTTCCACCTCCATTTCTTCTAAATGGATGAAAAGATCAGTCCCACCACTGGCAATAACTCCCACATTTAGGAGGTGAAGCCAAATCCAGGATAAGGAGAGATGCATATTGGCAGGGAGGGAGTTGCTGCTCTTAAGGAACCTTGGAAATTTCCCACGTTGGATCCTCACCCCAAGGATGATGAAGCCTATGCTGTTCCAATGGGGAAAACAGTGGGTATAACTCAACACTGTGTGGTGAGGCAAGGCGGAGAGGAGAGCTGATGGGCCCTCACAGTTCAGCATGATGGGCTTCAGTCCGAAGCAGCTCACTGGGCTTCATAAAGATGCCTTCCATGGCTCTCCAATAGTTGTTCTGGCTCTGCTGGGCCATGCCATGCACCTCTCTTTGGCCACTGATGGGCCGTCCATACTGCTCTCCCGTGACAGACAGCAGCACATCAGTAGAAGCATGTTTGAACCGAACCTCATCGTCCCTCACCCAGTGTGAGCCACTGCAGAGGACTGTCCAGTCATCCAGATGGTCCCCTTCACCTTCTTCCCCAAATGCACTCACTTCCTGGAAACAACAGAGAGCAGAAGAATTAGCATGACCCCCATAACAGATCTGAGAAGTGGGTAAGAGTGACAGGAGGAGAGATGAGGGGATAAAGTAGAAAATGGGGAGCACTTCCACGGGAGGAACTTGGCTGAAAAGGGGGGAGGGGAACAATCATGAAACAAATCCCGCTCCCTGTCCCACCTCAGAAAATACCAAAGAACGGCCCCCAAAAGAATACAAATGAGCTAATACAAGTCAACAAACACCTGCTTAGCACACCCATTTACAAGAAAGGGGAGATGATCAAGTCCCTCATCCTTGTTCTCAAAGAGTTCATAGTTTAGTTGGGAAAGTGACAGCAAAACGTACAGAAATAGTCAAAGAGCCATAATACAATTTACCGTGGGATTAAATGTTAAGAGAGGTCAAATAGAGGAGTGGGAGAGATTCACAGAAGAGATCACTTCCAGTTTGTTGTCAGTGGGGAAAGAGGTAGCAGTGGAGGGGGAGCTTGAAAGAAGAAAAGGATTTTAATACCTAGAGATGGAAGAGAGCAGGGGGGTGTCATCAGGAACAGGTGACAGGTTGGGCAGATACAAGGAAAGGACAAAATGGGGGAAGGTAACAGTGAGTAGTATGTTTGGTAAGAGTATACTGTGAAATAGGGTCAGAATATTAGGATCAAGCCAAAATGTGAAGGCCTTGAAGATCAGGTCCAAGAGTTTGTATATAATTCTGTAAATACTGGGGAGACAGTGACGGTTTGGCTTGTGCATTAGAAAGAAAGACTACTTTGGCAGCATGTGAAGAATGGACAAGAGAAGGGAAAGACTGGTGGTAAAACTACCACCTGTCAGGCAGGCCCTGTGCTAAGCACTGGGGATACAAAAAGACCCTGCCTTCTAGGAGCTTACACTCTAATAGGGGAGAGAACAAGCAAATCAGAAATAATTGAGAGGGAAAGCACAAAAATTAAGAGGGGATGGGAAAGGCTTCCTGTAGAAGGCAAGGTTTTAGTTGGGACTTGAAGGAAGCCTGGGAAGCCAGCTGGAGATGAGGAGGGAAAGCATTCCCGGCATGGAGAACAGTCAGAGAAAATGCCCGGAGCCAAGAGATGGAGGGTCACGTTCCTGGCCACAGCCCAGGAAGCCAGTGTCACTGGATGGAAAAGTCCACGTTGGGGAGTAAGGAGTAAAAACACTGCAAAGTTTCACTTTATTTCACTCGCATGACATCGTGTTTTTCTAATTCATCAGATTAAGAAGAAACCTCTCAATCCTTTTTGATCCTTTACTGAGATGATGTCTGGTTCTCACTCTCCTTTCTACTCCATGATTCCAACTCCTTGGGGAGCCAAGCAAGCCTCCCTCTTGTCCAGAACCGGTTTTCTTTCATATATAGATAAATTTCTCCTAATGAGCAAAAAAGAGAGCAAACAGGTCTGACAAGCCAGACACCAAACAACCCCCACGTGTGAGGCTCCTCCGGCCCCGGGCTTACCTGGTTGCCAGACAAGGGTGAAGAGAAGTGGTGACTGTGAAGATTGCGCCCAGTGTTGACATGAGTCAGCCTGATGGCCTGGCCACATCTCACCGGGGTTCCTCTCTCACACACTGTAGAGGTCTTTCCTCGGATCCGCCAGTAACTGTTGCTGTCATCCACATCTGATACCCCTGTCACTGACTGCTGCCCACTGCCTGGAAAAAAGGAAGATGTTCTAGGCTCACTGACTTACAGCTAGAAGGGAACTTGATGATCGACTAGTCCAGAGGGGTCAAACTCTGAAGCAAACTCGTCACCAGAGCCACAGCGAAGAATAATTGGGAAATGTGAACAAAAACCATAAAAATACAATACTACATGCTACATGTGTGGTTTTCTAAGTCAATGTGCCCTCAAGGAAGGTTCCATTTCTCTTTGAATTTGACCCCACTGATTTAAAGCATCTAAACAGAAGTGATTAAAAAAAGATAAGACTAGAAAGATGGTGAGAGCCAGACTATGAAAGTTTTTAAAGGCCATGCTGAGGTGTTTGCATTTCAGCCTTAGAGACAATAGGGAGTCATGGAAGATTTGGAAGTAGGGGAGTGACAAGGTTAGCCTGTGTTTCAGGAATGCTAATTTGGCAGTCAGCTGAAGGAAGAGACAGGAAGCAAGGGGGCCAAGAAGGCTGCAGCAAAAGTCTATGAGAGAGGAAAGGAGGTCAGGAACTAGAGTGTTAGCAGTGAGTGGAAAGAAGAGGACAGAAATAAGAGCTGGTGGAGGCAGAATCATGAAGTCAGCAAATGACTGGCTGGTAACAGTTGACTCTCAGATGGTGAACCTGGGTGGCCAAGGAATCACAGTGTTAGTCTCCACAGAAATTCAGTTCTTATCATCAGAGACTGAACAAGTTAGAAGGGACCTCAAAGATTCTCTAAGGCAAACCGCTTCATTTTACAGACAGGAAACCAAGGCTCAGGAAGGTTAACTGGCTTGTCCCCCAGGTTACATATGTAGTAAGCGTCCAAGGCACAATTAGAACCTGGGTCCTCCACCTCCAGAGCCAGTGCTCTTTCCACAGTGTCATGCCAACTCCACTGAACAGGTATTCAGGGTATTTACTATCTATTATGTGCTGGAGATATAAAGACAGAAATTAAACAAGTCTCTGGCCTCAAAGGTCTTACGTGGGGGGGAGAAATGTACAAAGAAAGGTAAACACAAATTATATACCTAGTAGCTGCGGAGGATACTAATGACTGGAGAAACAGAGAAAACCTTCCTTTATGAGGAACCACTTAAACTGACCCTGGAAGAGTGCTGGGGATTCCAAGAGGTAGAGGCCAGAGCCAGAAGGGGAAGCTAGAAGGGGAGGGGAACAGAGGCGAGGAGGAGAGGAGGGAGAGGGAGAGTTAGTTCCAAGGCTGGAAGTGGAACGGCCTGTAGGAGGAACAAGTAAGCCAGACTGGCTAAAAAGAGGGCAGGAGTGGGAGTCATCTGAAATCAGTCTGGAAAGATAGGCTGGAGCCAGACTGTAAATCAAGCAATAAACAGAGTGATAAGCATTTACCAGTGCCAGCTACTCTCTTAAGTGCTGGGACACAAGGTAATGCTAAAACAAAGAACTAGTCATTTTACCTTAAAGAAAAATTTAGAATCCCTGAAATTTTTTGAGCTGGGGAGTAGCATGGTCATGCCTGTTCTTTAACATTATTTTGATATGTATAATTTATATCGAATTGCTTGCCTTCTCAAGGAGAGGAGAGAATTTGGAACTCAAAATTTTTTTTAATTAATTTATTTTGATTTATCAACAATCACTTCCTTAAGCTTTTGAGTTTTAAATTTTTCTCCCCCTCACTCCCCAAGAGGGCGAACAATCTGATATAGGCTATACATATACTTTCCTATTAAACATATTTTCACATTAGTGATGTAAGAGTCAATAGGAGGAACCACCAGAAAGAGGAAACAAAACACAACAGAAGGAAAAAAAAAGCAAATAGTCTGCTTCCATCTGCATTCAAACTGCATAGTTCTTTCTCTGGATGTGGATAGCGTTGTCCAGGGTGGGAGGCTTCTAGAGATGTCTTAGATCCTTGTATTGCTGAGAAGTGTTAAGTCTGTCAATGTTAGTTATTGCACAACGAGGCTGTTGCTGTGTACGACATTCTCCTGGTTCTGCTCACTTTCAAAATTTTTTTAAAGAATGTCAAAAATTGTAATTACATGTAATCGGAAAAAATAAATATTAAAAAAGAAAAAGATTAATTTGATAGCTGTGTGGACAGGATGAGTGAGAAAGGGGAGAAAACGGGATTGATGCTCAGAAAGAACAGTTACAAGCTTACAGCAACGGTCGCCTGAACAAAGGTGATGGAGAGAAGAGAGATGCAAGAGATACTGTGGGGGTAGAATCGACAGCATTTGGCAAATGAGCAGATGGCCAGAAAGACATTGTTTTCTCCTCTGTAAAATGAAAAAGTTGAAATGGACGACCTCTAAAGTCCTTTCCAGGTTTAAATCTGCACTTCTCAAGATCTTCAGACTACACGACTCTCAAGAGAGAGAGGGAAGTATGGAGGGGGCAGTTGTTGGGGGTAAGTTTGGTTTTGGAAAGGCTGAGTGAGTCAAGAGTCCTTCACTGGGGCTGCACGTCAGGCCAAACGGCCTCCTCCCGCCCTTGACAAGCCAAAATCTTTCCTCCCCCACAAGCCTGGTCAGGCTGCCCGCCATCGTTTGGGACGCCGTCTTCAGAGCCGGGCCTGACTCCACCTCACCCCCCCTTCCCCTCCAGGACGCGGTCTCCAGGAGCTTTCCCATTCCTTTCCTTCTCTTCCTGTCCGCCCCAGCTGGGCCAGATTCCGGAAACCTTCCTGCCCTCTCCTCCATGCGACTTCTCCAGGCCCCGCCCCCAGGTGCTTCTCCGTCCCGCCCTCTTCCTGCCCCCTCAAGATTCCTCGAAGCTCGGGGCTCCTCCTCCCACGTGCTTTTCCGGTCTATGACTGTTCCAGGCCCCGCCTCCCACTGGTTCCTCCTTCCCCCTTCCTCCTCGAGCTCGCCCAGGCCCCGCCTTCGGGGTTCCCCCACGCCAAGCCCCGCCCCCGGGAAGGGGCTTTTTCCGTTCTTTCCTCTTCCCGGCCCCGCCCTGTGGGCTCACCGGACCCGTAGTGTACGTCATGTGAGTGCAACCGGACGTTGTGGCGCGTGTTGAGGAGCTTCACGACAGAGCCGCAAGTGACGAGAGGCAGATCGGAAGCCCCAGCCAGGCCGAGCAACCCCCCAAACAGCAGCAGCGGCCCCACCGCGATCCCCGCCGGACACCTCCGCCCCATCGCCCTGACAGAAACACGGCCCCCTCTCCGGAACCGGAAGCAGTGGGCGGAGCCAGGCCCGGGAGGAAGAGGCGTCCCCAGTCCTCCGCTCTCTATGCTACCTCTCGCTAGAGCGCCCGGAGGAAACGACCGGACTCGCAGACCTCCTGCTCCCGCCCCCACGCGGAGGCCGCCGGAGGTCGCTTTCCTGACGCGGTCCTAGTTACTGCTCCAGCCCCCTAGAACCGCCCCGCCCCACACAGTGGCGAGGGAGAGGGCCACCTCCTTTCAGTGACAGCGCGCCGGAAGTGACCTCAGACGTCGCGGCGGCTGCGGGCGTCGGGGAGGGGGCACGTCGGTGTGGGGGGCCCCCGGACTCGCCTTCGGTGGCGCTGCCAAGCGGTGACTCCATTTTCCTCGGAGGCTCGGCGCTGCGGCGGGCTCGGTAAGGCCGGGGTTGGGGTTCGGGGGGGCTACGTGGGTGGCCCGGGGTGCCGTGGGACAGCGGGGCAGGGCGGGGGGCCTGAGGGGAGCGGGGCTCCCAACTGGGGCGCCCCCCCCTCCGCACACACGCCTTCTCGGCTGGGCGGGCCTCCGCCCGCCACTTGTTGAGTCCTCGGGGGGTCCTCCCTCCCCCAGAAGCCGGGGAAGCGCCTCCCGGGGCGGCGGGCGGCGCCCGGGCCTGGCTTCTCCTGCGGGGAGGGGGCGGCTTCCCGGAAAGGGGGCCTCGTGGCGGGGAGGGGGAGCGGCTGCCTCCCCCTCCCCAGGTGTCGGCCCGCCTTGGTGGGGGGGGCCTCCCCAGCCCGATGTTTCCGAGCCTCCGTCCGCAGCGTCTGTGCCGGGGATGGCAGCCCCCGAAGCAGCCGGGGGTCGTGGTCCCTGCCCTGACCAAAGTTATTCACACCGCTGGGCTGGGGCAGGGAGCAGGGGGGTGGGACCTTTAAATGGTACAGGAGGCCAGGCCCAGACCTCTCTGATCTCGTTTGTACGTGACCATCAGCATCCCCAGCGCTCAGCATCAGTTAAGCGCCTACTGTGTGCCAGGCTGTGCCGAGTGCTGGGGTTACAAAGAAAGGCCAAAAAAATCCCCAAATCCCTAGTCCCTGACCTCAAGGAACTCCCAGTCTAATAGGGGAGATACGTTCAAGAAACTGTACCAACAAGATGTTGGCTTGGCTCGTCTAGTTAGGAACTAGTAAGCCCAGAGAGATCAGCCAGTTAGTTAACGTTTATGAAGGACTTACTATGGTCTAGGCACTGTGCTGAGTGGTGGGGATGCAAAGAAAAGAAAAACTGCCATCGAGGAGTGTGCATTCTATTTGGGGAAGCAACATGTAAATAATTAGGTATGCTAATACTACAAGATACTACAGAGTAGGTAGAGGTAACCTGAAATAAGAAGGTTCTAGCAGCTGGGGCGGCTGGGAAAAGTCTCCTTTGTAAGATGGGATTTGAGCTGCGTCTTGAAGGAAACCAGAAAACTAGGAGGAAAAGGTGAGGAGACAGCATTCCAGGTCTGGGGAACAGCAATTACAAAGGCTGCCCCCCAGAGGGGAGACAGATGGAAAATTGAGTGATTTGTTTGAGGAACTACAATTAGGTCAGTGTAGCTGCTAGATTTTAGAATCCTTGGAGGAACAGGCTGGAAGGGTAGGAAGGAGCCAGGTTGTAAAGAGCTTTAAATATCAGATTTTATATTTTTTCTTGAAGATAATAGTGAGCTACGAAGCTCATTGACCAGAGGAATGACAGATTTTCCTATCTGCAATGTAAGAAAATCACCTTGGCAGGTTAGGATGCATTGGAGTAGGAAAAGATTTGAGGCAGAGAGACCAGTTAGAAGGTTACTGCTTTAGTGCAGAGGGGAGGTGGTAAGGGCCCAAATTGGAGTTGTGGCTGTGTCAGTGAAGAGGAGACATATTAGAGAAGTGTGTTACATATTATGAAAGTAGAAACAATAAGATTTGGCAATGGATAATATAGGTGGGGTGACTGAGAGGGAGGACCTGGGTAACTGGGAGGTTGTTGGTAGCCTCAGTGTATGTAATGGGGACATTTAGAAGGGGGGAGACAAAATGGATTGTGTTTTGGTTTTGTTGTGTTTGAGATACCTGTGGGACAGCCCAAGATATCTAAGACCCAGTTGGAGATGGATGATTAGCTCAGTGGAGAAGCTAGGGTTGACTATAGAGCCGGGAATCATCTGTGTAGAGATTATAATTGAACTCATGGGAGCTAATGAAATCACCAAGTGAGATAAAATAGAGAGAGGAAAGAAGGGGACCCAGGACAGACTGTTGTGGGATACTCGCAGTGGACATGACCTGAATGAAGATGTAGCAAAGGACAAGAAGCAGTTGTTGGACAGAGAGGACGAGAACCAAGATGAGCTGAGTCACAAAAACCTTTAGAGAAAAAAAGGTGATCAATAGTGTCAAATCCTGCTTGGAGGTTAAGAAGGATCAAGATTAAGAAGGAGAAAATGCCCTTGGAATTGGCATTTAAAACTCATTGGCCGTGTCTGTAATCCTACCGACCGGAGGCTGGATTCTTGAGCTTGGGAGTTCTGAGCTACACCGGGCTATGCAGTGCTAAGTTTGGCCTTGACATGGTGAGTCCCTGGGAACAAGGTGCTACAAAGTTGCCCAAAGAAGGGTGATCTCTCCCAAGTCAGAAAAGGAGCAGGTTAAATGGTAATCAATGGGATCAGGTCCTAAGTGACCAAGGGACTTGTAAGATGGGGAGAGCCCGGTCTTTTGAGAGAAAGAGGGTAGCGGGAGCACCTGCCAAGGTTCCGTGGTTCCTCCAGATGATAGGTGACAGCCAAGCTTGGCCTCCTGCTCTCTAACTGTATATCCAGTGATTTTTCCATTATATACCATCCCTGCCCTTCCTGTAACTTTGTCTGCTGCCCCAGACATCCTGAGGCACCACCTTGGGAGTTTGCCATTATTTCTGTGAGAGTTAGTGGCTGTAGAAGTAGTAAAAGCCCTGAGGAAGAATATACAACTTAACTGACTCTTGTGGGAAAACATTGTTGCCAAATTTCTCTGAAACAGTTATTATGTTATTAGTGAGTCCTCATCTCAGTTCCTCTGGCTATCTTGATTCTAGATGGAACACATGTTTGATCTGGTAGACACTTCCAGCCAAAATGACTGTAGTGGAAATAATTAATGACCAACAGCTTAAGTAGTCTGAATGCAAAGAGTCACATTAGCTCTAGTATTGTTCCCTTTTGCCACCTGTGTGGATGAGGGCTAACTAGACCGGTTGCTGTTGGAGGGAGAGGCTTCTATTTGTCCCAGGCTTCGGTCACCTGGTCTAAGTTCTCTACCCTGGCAGAGTTGGCTAGTTTGGGAGTCTGGTGAACTGTGCAGAGTGTGTCTGACTCTACATGCCATGTTAAATGAGGAGATTCCAATCTTTAGGACTTAAATTGGTTGGATCTTGGAAAAAGAAATGGCTATTTAGCTTATTGCTGGTAATAGTAACCAGATTTTTATGTTAAGAACTTTGACCTAGATTAAATAAAGCATTTATTAAAGTCTTTGTGGTAGGCACTGGGCTGAATTGTCATTTTTTCAGGTCCTTGTCAATTGATATTGTTTGGATAAATCTTCTAGAGCTATGTTAGCTAGAAAGTCCAGTTGGAGTTATTTACCTACAGGGTTTAGTACCTTGATCTTGGAGACTGAAGACTGGTCCTAGCTCAGTGATCTCAGGCAAGTTGGTAACCTCTGTTAACTTTAGTTTCCTTCTCTGTAAAATGGGGAGCACAAATCCTTGCATTACCTAACTTGAAAGGTCCTTATTCTAGATTAAATGAGAAGCTGAAACTGTAAAAGTCAGTTCTTCAATTCAATTACTGGGACTAGAGTATTCTTTCAGATTTTTGTATTTCAAAACGTATTAAGTTCCTACTGTTTGCAGTTCATGCATTTTGCAATGCAATTTGCATTTAGCTGGGCTGGGAGGATAAAAGACAAAAGCAGTTCTTCCCTCAGGTGTTTTTGTTCTGCCAATAACAAGATCCCAAAATTTAAAGTAATTACCTTTAAGTGGAGTATGAATTCTGACCTAATATGTGCTGCCCTGCTTCAGTGCATGGATCATGATACACTGTCTCCTGTGACATCTTGTGAGTAAACATTTATTCAGTACCTACTTTTCAGCAAATATTCCACAAAGGGCAGGGCTGTGTGGTAGGCACAGGGGGAAAACAGAAATAAAGGGTCCCACCTTCCTAGAGGTCACTGTCTAGTAAAGGGATAGGATAGTCCCAGTGCCTGTGGACCACAGTACCTGGCACATGGTATGTGCATAATAAATACTGGCTGAGTAATATACATACAAATGGCTTCAGGACTGAGAGGTACAGAAATGAATAAAGAAGTCATGCCACCTTTGTACCAAGGGGGAAGGGAAGAATCATCACTTCCTGGGAAAATCAAAGAAGTTCTTGTGATGGGGCTGGCATTTGAGCTGGGCCTTAAAGAATGGGTAGAATTTTAAAAGGCAGAAATAGAGGCGTGTTATTGCAGATATAGGGAATAAAGTGAGTGAAAGTATGAAGGCAGAACAGCATGGAAAGTCTATCTTAGATGGTGAGTGGTCCAGTTTGATTAGAGCATTGCAAATGTAAAGGCAAGTAAGAAAATGAAGTGGTGCTAGGTTATGGAAAGCCTTGGACTCCAAGCTAAGGGGCTGTACTTTATTTTATAGGCCGTAGGAAACCACTGAAAGGTGCTCACACATGTTTTTGTAAGATTCCGTTGGCAGTGTTGTGACCGGTAGATTAGAGATGGGTTGAAGACCTGTTGGAAGGCTTATGTCCAGCTTGTTGGTTGTGAGAGCCTGGCCTAGGATAGTGTGAGTAGAAACAGACATGGATGAGAGCTTTTCTCATTTAGAAATGGCAGAACTTGGCCATTGATTGAATATGTGGGGGGGGGGGTGACCTACAAGAAAAAAAAGATGAATTAGATAATTCCACTGACAGAAACAGGGAAGAAATTTTGGGAATGATTCAATCCAGTTAGATAAGAATTTGGCCTGATCCAGGGATGGGGAACCTGTGGCCTTCTAGATCCTTGGGTGAGGCCTTTGACAGAGTCCAAGT